CGCATCGCGGTGATTTTTTCGTCGGTATGGCCAGGGCTTTTCGGATCATTTGCGCCAGTCATCGTTGTCTGTGTACCCGATCACGCGCCAAAACATAAGTGCGATTTAAAAAACGCACACTACTGAAATTTTTTACAGAAGAGTTTCACCCATAAGACTTCTCCGTTATAACTTTTGTCCACCTTCAAGATTAGTAGCAATCAATACACTAACATGTAGAAAAATCAAATTGAATAGCACTGAATTATCGGAATCCAAGTTTGACAACGGCCACGTGGAACTCACAAAGTTGAGGGGGAATTTTTTCTTTGCGTTGACCCCTGGTTATCGAGGGTATAATAAACTTTTGTTCGAACAAGTTCAGCTCAGCTTCTCCAAAACACCACGGATATCATACTATATGAGTTGTGATGCATGAGCAGCAAAAACTCAGCTATAATGTGGTATGGTTAGTCTAACTCTTACTTGCTTAATCAAGTATGGTAAAGCCATAAAGCGGTACCGGATGCTGTGGCCGAACCGCCCACCCGTGTCAACTTCGCCCTCTTGCTAGTTTTTTGCGCAGTCCGCATGCTCAGAGCTCGAGAAGTTTCTCATACAAAAAAAAGTTTCTCATACAAAAACAAAGCGTAAGCTGTTAAGCTCTTTGTATGTTACTCCCTGTATTATGTTGTTATATGATTTTATCTATACAAGGAGGCTTCCACCCGCAATATACAACTACGAATCAATCTGTCCATAAACAAATGAAGATAATTTTATTTCAGAGATAGAGATCTGTGGGCATAATTTTCGGTAAACGGAAATCTAATGCCATATTCAATTTAAATTCAATGGCTAGACATAAGGGTCGTCGAAGCATTTTTCCGTGAGTACTAGCAGCTTCATGTATTCTTCCTCGTTCCTATAACAACCCGCTTTTTTTTACAAAAATAGGAGTCAATTTTTCAGATCTTGAAAGCACATACATTTCATCAAGGAATTCATTGGGTGGTTTTCCTGGATGTTTCGATTTGATATGTAGTGTAGCCGAAGCGGTAGATGCTCCACGTTTGTCACAATATGGGCACTTGTACCTAAATTTGGGATTGGTATTGTAACCATTCGCTATTCTTGATAGACTCAAACCTTTTGAATGGTGAATGTGTAGCTGCGTGAAGCATTTTTGCCCTCAAAAAAGGCACCGAAACTGAGGAGCTACAGATCTGCAACGAGTTTTTAGAAGTTTCCTGCATGAAAAGAAAACGTGAAGAAGTCGATGTGGAAAATTACCTTGCAAACTTGTCGACGATATCGTTTGATGTTGTTAGGAACTCGCTGTCGTCCTGAACCAAGTGTGACCGGTGACATGGACAGTGATCCGTCCCAATGCAGTCCAACCTGAAGCACTGGAAAAACCTAGAACATTCAATGATATCAAAAAAATTTCAGCTATTTTACTGCAATACACTGTCCAAACCAGACGATTTCAGACTTCACTGAAAGTGCCACAGGATGTTTAACATGATTTTGCTTTTGTAAAGTTACAGTAGGTGAAGTCTTATGGTAAACAAATACTTCAGTATGATTGCTGTAGATTACACATTCATATAGGGTGTCCCAAAAAATGTACTTGTTGCTTGATTGTTAATGACTGTTTGTCATAAAATTTTCGAGAACGCTTAAGTACCATTTTGTACAGCTGGCTTCAACTCAGGTGTACAATATGGAGCGGATTACCGTTCTTTCTTCATCACCGTAGGATTACGGTAGGAACTCGCAGCATATAATGCATGTGAGATAGGCCGTTCGAAAAAAATTTAAAAATCTGAAAATTTGTGTAACAAGGTTTCATGCATGCTGATTACACTACAGAACATTCTGCGTGTTCGCAGAGCTTTTTGAATGGCTTGATCGAATTTTGGAGAATATCAGAAATCGGTCGTTACGTTGTGTCTGGCATGACTTATGAGAAAAGGGTTACGGTAAAGTGGGAGCTCCATATTGAAATCAGCGACCCTAATTAACCTATATAAGGGTATTCAGCTTTCTAAGTCTTTTTTCGGGGGTAAAAATAGCAGTCAAAGCAGAACCTTCTCCAAAGTGATGAAGAGAAATTGTAGTTAGAGCCAGCTCTACAGAATAAAGCT